GAATATTTTTTAGAAGAGCTTCTTTAAAATGTGAACTTAAAATGGGTCTTCTGGTTGACTAATTAAAATGTAATTACATAGGGAAAAAAAACTAATGGTTTATATCAAATGGGTTTAACTGCTCATTAGATTCTGAGTAATGTCGAGTTGCACATTCTTAGTCCAACTATTGTCATTAAAATCTCAAAAAATATTGTATTAAAAAATCAAGACTAGGGCTAGGGTTGTGGCTCAGTGCCTAGCATGTGGAAGGCACTGGGTTCGATCCTCAGCACCACATTAAAAAAATGTTAAAAAAAAAAAAAAGAACTCAAAACTGGCGGAGGTGGGGGGGCTGGGGGGCGCATGCCTGTTATCCCAGCAGCTCTAGAGGCTAAAGAAGATGATTGTGATTTAAAGCCAGACTCAGCAAAAGTGAAGCACTAAACAACTCAGTGAGGCCCTGTCTCTAAATAACACGAAATAGGGCTGGGGATGTGGCTCAGTGGTTGAGTTCCCCTGAGTTCAATCGCTTGTATCAAAAAAAAGAACTCAAGACTAAGCCAGGTGTGGTGATGCATACCCTGCAATCTCAGCTACTTGGGAGGCTGAAGCAGGTTGATCACAAATTCTAGGTCAACCTGAACAACGTAGTAAGACCTTCTAAAAATGATTTTTTTTTTTTTTTTTTTTTTTTAGAAAGGGCTGGCGGGTATAGCTCAATGGTAGAGTACTTGCCTAACATGTTCAAGGCCTAGGATTCAATTCCCAGCACAGAAAGAAGAGGAGAAAAAAAAGAAAAAGAAAAAAACCCTCAAGATTGATATTGTGATGACATTGGATACTGAATGGGTGATTGTATAAGCACCATTCTAAATCTGCAATTTGCCCCAGACCACAAAATTCACCCTCTGATTAGTAGCTGACAGACCTATTATTAAGATCACAGGTTCATTAGCAAATAGTACAACATATGAGAATACGTCCTGGTTATGAGCAGTATCCTCTAGTCTGTAAATCTCACTAAATCTTCATAAGAGTGCTCTGAGGATAAAGTGAGAAAACTTAAGTAAAAGAACTCTGGTACCCAGAGAACTATGCAAACAGTGCCGTCGTGCTTCCCAAGGTGTGCAGGCCAAGGATACATGATATGACAAATGAGGTGAATCAGGCAGCATCAAAGGAAGGAAGGTCCCTTGAAGTGGTTGCAATCCTCCTTTGAATCACATCAGTAGAAAACCCAATGTCTGCCTGAAGCTGATTATATAAAAATTCTCTCAAGATATATGCCTCTAGGATAGTAAGCCTGAAAAGGTAAGAGATGGGGGCCTAAGATTTTTTGTAAGAATGAGTTTTGAATCAAATTATTTAGAAGACTAGAACAGGACGTAGTAGATAAAGCCTACAGCAAAGACAGAACAAAGAGAGTAAATAAGGCAGTCCCAAAGCCACACATGGCCTTTGGTTTGTTTTTAATTTTTATGCAGGACCATAATAGAAACAAAGGAATATTCAATACATAACTGTATAAAATCAGATGCAGGTTAGAAAATCTTATCCCAAGGGATTTTTTGAAAAGGCTATTTAGACAGGAAAAGTGTATGGGCAATTTAGTAAAGGGATGGAACTAACATTTAACTTCCAATGAGTTCCCTGACTTAGGGTCCAGAGTGTTAAAAACAAACTTCTCGACCTGAAATTGAAAAATATGTAAGGGATCCTTACATTTACTGAGTGCTTAAAACATTCTAAGTACTACTCTAAGAGCTTTTCATTGTGGTCTGGTCTAGTCTGGTCTGGTCTGAGACAGGATCACTACTTCCCAGGCTGGCTCAAGTAATCCTCCTGCCTCAACTTAGAGTAGCCTGAGCAGTGCAGCATGCCACTGAACCTGGTTTGCCTTACTTGTGTTAATTCATTTAATATTCAAACAAATCTATTAGGTATTATTATTATTATTGCTTGTATTTATGGATGGAGAAACCAAGGCCTAGAGACATGCCCAAGACTTGCTAAGTGGGGTTAAAACCTACAGTTTTAGCTGACTTGCTACAGTCAGCTCAGCTTTACACTGAGCTGACTGTAGCACACTACAGTCTACACTACTAACTACCCTAGGTACAAAAAAAAAAAAAAAAAGACTGCCTATGGTAGTCAAAAGAACTAAAATAAACTAGGTCAGACTTTGACTAGAGGGTACAAAGGAAGAACAAGAAATGAAGATATGACAGGTGAGTGACAATCAGGATTAAGATCCTCTAATGCTACCCAGTAGTTAACTGTTCTGTGATTTTACTCCAATGGACTCCGTGTGAGAGGGTGAAAGAATCAAAAGAAAGGCCAAGAATTCCTAGGATATGATGTTAAGAGGCAAGATTTCCCCAAAGTTTCTTGAGGGATGTTAGTTAATCATGTGGAAACAAAATGGGTAAGAGACTTTTCCGTATGGGTTGCCCCGGATGTCCACTGTAAATCCATGGCCTCTAAGTACAAATCAACCCAAACTAGAGCTAGAATGGACAGGCTAGAGTACAGTGGTATCATTTTAGAAATTATATCACTTAGTCATCTGCTTAGTTTTCCATGTTCTTATATAGAATACAGCTAGGGCTTTAGAGTCAGGGAACTGTGCATGCTAATCATAGTTTCAATACTTAACTATGTGTTCACCACAACTTCTGGGCTTTAGTTTTTTCAACTTAAATGAAGATAGTATCTATCAGGTTATACAAATATCACGTGCAACAAAATTTGTAAAAAGCGTAGCACAGAGTAACACACACTTCTCAACAAATGTTAGTTCCATTCCTTTGTCCAAGCTGTATTACAAAGTCTTAAAAGACTGAAACCAATAAAAGGAAGATGATAGTGGGGGAAAAAACACAAAAATTTTATGGTTTAAAGATAATGTAAAAAGCTCTGAATAAAAACACCTTATTAATTTGTAAATTTAGCAGATCAATTGGCTAAAACTGAATGGTAACAATGTCAAAGCTCATAGACCTTGACTTTTGTTCTCAGAGGTAAATGTTAAACTTTGTAGAATCATCCTTTGTTCAATAAGAGACTAATAATAATTAAAAAGGTGTTACAAAGATTGTACAACCTAGGAACAGAGCTAAGTTTGGAACACTTGCCACTTGAATACTAGAATCATTGAATAAAAATTCTTTTTTTCTGGGCTGGGAATGTGGCTCAGGCGGTAGCGCGCTCGCCTGGCATGCGTGCGGCCCGGGTTCGATCCCCAGCACCACATACCAACAAAGATGTTGTGTCCGCCGAGAACTAAGAAATAAATATTAAAATTTCTCTCTCTCTCTCTCTCTCTCCCCCCCTCTCTCTTTAAAAAGAAAAAAATTCTTTTTTTCTTTCAGTATTAGTACTCACGATGCAAAAATTAAAGTCTAGGGGCTGCGGTTATAGCTCAGTGATAGAGCACTTGCCTAGCATGTGTGAGGTACTGGGTTCGATCCTCAGCACCACATAAAAATAAATAAATAAATGTATAAAAAGTAATAACATTTAAAAAATAATTAAAGTCCAAAAACTTGATAAGGATAAAGTGTTTCCACCAACTTTATGAAATCTATAAATAACATAAGCTGAAAATAATTTTGTATGAGGTTATGAGAAGTTTGGTTTATATTTAACTTTTTTTCTTTTAAATAACATGTTAGAACACTTCCATAAACAAAAGGTTATGCCCCTGGTCCCATCCTTATACTCAAAAAATGAGCAAACTTTAAAAACAGCAAATTTTTATTTGAAAAAATTGATAAACTGACAAGCTTGTCAAAAAGTCATTTCAGTGTAACATTTTACTTAGTAAATAAATATGTGCAATTTGTAGAGAGTAGATTCTTCTCTAAAAATGCTATGACAGACATAATACACTGTATGATTCCATTTAAATGAAACTTTTAAAAAAGTAAAACTAAATGACAGCAAATCACTGTTTTCTAGGAGGAAGAGATTGACTGTAAAGAGACACAGGAGTTTGGGGTGAAGGGAATGTACCAATGTACCATAAGAACATCATGGTGGTAGGCAGACAACAGCATGTTTTCAAAACTCACTTAAAGTTATATTGGAAACTGGGGGATTTTATTACATAAAAACTATATCTCAATTTTTAAAGGGTAATACATAATCAATCAGCATGCTTTTCAATGAACCATTTTGGTCAAAATATTTCATTCAGTAGGGGCCAGGAAAGTACTCTACCGCTGAGCTATGAGGTACAGCACTTGCCTCACACAAATAGGACCCTGGGTTTGATCTCCAGCACCGTGAAAATAAACAACAACAACAAAAAAAAAAAACTGTTTTTTACTCAGTAGAGAAATATTTATTTGTAGAAAATCTGTAAATAATATAAGTACATTTTTCACAATCATAGTGTTTATTTTTTGACATTTTTATGAGAAATATCTTTTAATATTCTTCTTAAAAAACAAGCAAAGCTAAACAGTGCTTGAGAAGCAACCCTGAGTTAAATTTTAAACCTTCCAAAACCACTGCATAAACTCAATCCACTGATGCACTAGTTGGCAGTGACTGGATGCTTTCCCCAGATGTAAGACTATACCCGAGGCTACACATTCAAGTCAGAAAGGGGCCAGGTAAATAGGTGAGCAGCACAGGCCCTGCAGGTTGATGTCAGGAAAGAGCACAGGCCTTAGCATACCCAGAGCTTCTGATGATTAAAGAGAAGCAGAAATGTCGACTTCAATGTAAAATTTCTAATTTTTTAGAATGAGGGATCCATTTTTTTTTATAACATCATATAGGGCAAATCAATCACATTCAAATAAGCATATGTGGCCCATAGTATAAGCTTTCTTAAGTTATTCAATAACACACCTCTTGTCTTCAGTCTAACATCTTACTTCTTTATTTGCAGAGTGTGTAAAATAATATGGAATGTAATAATAAGGAAAATAAAATCCATCTTAAAATTACATGGACAGTCATTTTGGTCACTTACTAGAAGCCCAAATCTTACTTACATGTCTAAGCATACTTGTTGGTGGTAAAATAAATGAATGAGTTTGAATGAAGAGAGGAAACACTGAGGAAAAGCTCTATTTTAATTAAGGTCAGAGTCAGCACCCAGACTTAAGAGCAACAAAATAATCCACATGTTGAAATTTGAGAACTTCATTTCCCCAACTAGTCCAACCTGGCTGCAAATTTCGAGCAAACATTTCCAAACACTTCCCACCTGGCTTGATGTAGTCTTTTAGAACCTCTGTCCAAAAATAAAAGAGAGAGAGAGAAAGAGAGAGAGACAAAACACAAAAATTACTATTGAGGAAAAAATCAATTTCCTTTTAGCCAGTAAGAGAGGAAGGGATATTTCATTTAAAAAAAATAAAAGCAAATTAATGTCAAGATTTCATCACAGGCCTTACTATTTATAGTCAAAAAATCATTTGAAATAAGCGTCCTTGAGACTGGGAACAATACCAACAGAACTTTCAGTAGTCCTGATTTACTGGTTTTCATTTAGAGATCAGAAATGAGGATTTTAACACCCACGTAGGTGACTTTTCAGTTTTCCAACACTGCTGACATATCCTTTGAGAACTTACTTTATTTTTCAATAAATGTAATCCATGCATGAAAAAGAGCTCTACAGAAACAATAAGAGACAACCAACTTTAAAAATAAAGATAAAATAAAAGTCTCTTTATAGCATATACTTCAGTGAAATAGTAAATGAAGAGTTGGATACAAAATGACACATTCACAACAAATAGATAACTATAGCCCCCTATAGCTATAACTTGGTAGTACTAAAAGCATTCCCTCGTGTTCAAATTATAGATCATTCTTCTTTTTTTTTTTTTCCTGTCCCAGGGATTGAACTCGGGGGTACTCCACTACTGAGCCACATCTCCAGCCCTATTTTGTATTTTATTTAAAGACAGGGTCTCCTTAAGTTGCTTAGCACCTCGAAGTTGCTGAGTCTGGCTTTGAACTTTCGATTCTCCTGTCTCAAGCCTCCCAAATTGCTAGGATTACAGGTGTGCGCCACCATGCCCAGCTACAGATCATTCTTTACCAAAATTTCACCATATGATTTCCACAGTTAAGTATTCCCTATTTAGTTCATAACCCACTTGAATCAAATGTATGAAAGATGATATGTCATGAGCTTTGTAATGTTTTGAACAACCAATAAAAAAAAGTATTCCCTATTTAATACATATTAATATACTACATTAAAAGTTCTATACTACATTAATTACTACATTAAAAATCCTATTTTGTTGGGGAAAGGTACCTCATATATACGTTCGTTAAACAGCTGTGATCTACACTAAATGAAAGAAAAGAATACCACAGAAGGTTTTTTTATTAACACATGCTCAGTTGGAAGACAGTTATTTATTTATTTATTTATTTATTTTTTTTTTAAAGAGAGAGTGAGAGAGGAGAGAGAGAGAGAGAGAATTTTTATTATTTATTTTTTAGTTCTCGGCGGACACAACATCTTTGTTTGTATGTGGTGCTGAGGATCGAACCGGGCCGCACGCATGCCAGGCGAGCGCGCTACCGCTCCAGCCACATCCCCAGCCCAAGACAGTTATTTAAACCGATTTAATTTTAATCATGTTGCCAGTTAGCTAGTTTAACTACCTAACCGGAATTGGGTATAAAAATAATAATTCAGAAAAGGAACATATTTAAACAAGTAAAAAACATATTTCATAACTGCTTTGTAAAGTTGTGCTTAGAAGAAACCTATCAAATTCCCTCTAGGAAAGATAAGGCTCAGGAATAATTGATATAGGTAAGATTTAAAAGACAATGTATCAACACTTTAAGTTTCATAAAGTTCTTCAATTGCTCTCAGAGCAATTGCCTAAGAGTACTGGTTCTGTTTATCAAAAATCAAGAAGGAATTAAAAATTTTCATTGTCTATAATTCAATTGAACTCAAATTTGGGCCGTGATAGCTTCTAGAAGATGCTGACACAAAGACTTCTAGTACTTTCACATTCATATAATTAAATGCTTTGAAACTTGAAAGAGAATGATTTCCCAAGTCTTAAAGGACAATAATCCTAAATCATTTTTTCATTTCCTCACCCATAAATTTAATGTCTTACCAGCTTCAATTTATATTTAATGTGGCCTAAGGTACAATGAAACAAGATTCTGTTTTTGCATACATTGTTCAGTTTTTTGGTACAAAGATGTTAGTACCTCTATTTTGGAACTTTAAACTGAAGTCAGTCAGTCAAAAGTGTTCACTATTCTGAGCACCCATTATAATGAGTGCAAAGGAAGAAGAATACCCATGTTTTATAAGTCAATAATCTAACAGAAAAAGATGGCTACGTACTTCGAGTGGAAAAATACAACCTAAACCATTTATTACCATCCTTTCTCAATATAATACATTTTTACATGTATTGTTCTTTCTAGTTGGGGAAAAAAATAAAAAAAATAGAAAATCAGAGGTTTTACTGTTAATCACATTTGTTTTATTTCAAAACAAGGCAAAAGAAAGGCTAATTAATGGAAATATATTATTCCTACTAACTTTAAGTATCAATTTAAAAATAAATGCAAATAAATTTGCATTTAAAATAAATGTAAAAATCAATTTTGGGGGGGCTGGGGTTGTGGCTCAGAGGTGGAGCACTGCCCTCGTACATGTGAGGCACTGTGTTTAATCCTCAGCACCACATATAAATAAAATAAAGGTATTGTGTCCATCTACAACTAAAAAAAAAAAATGTTTAAAAAAATCAATTTCACCAGGAGTATGACATACATAGACAATTACATAACATTTATAAATGTTAAAACATACTTCCAACCAATGGAAAGGAAGCAAACAATGCAAAGCCAAGCATCACTCTTTTGCTCTAGAAGGATGAGGTAGAAGAGGAGAAATGGCCCAAACATCATTGCGTACAATCTCATCAGCTATGTTTCACTCTTCAGATAGACACTATTAGCACATGACACAGAAAAAGAAGTGGAAATTTCTCTGATATGAAATATGAAAATCAAAATTGTAACTCAAATACATTTATTTCATAATTTTCCTACCTTAAATCCTTCAATTTAAGAATATACATTTGTAATGTAGGTTATAAACCACATCTATTATTGGTTGATCTTTCAACAGGAGATTTCATAAATATATTATTTGAAATGGAATATGCTGCCAATGTGGGACTTCCTCTTTTTTGGTATATTTTACAACAGAAATAACAAATTAAAAAATTTTTCACCAAAACTTGGTGTTTCTAAGAAGCAAAAGAGGAAACATTTCATTTTATGAATGTGCACAGAAAGGTTTAAGAATGCTTAGGTAAAAGTTCTAAGCATTATATATAAAACATGTATTATGCAAATCCCCAGAATTATTACTTCAGAATTAAATAGTAACAATATGCCCAGAAATCTGAAAGTTGCTTTCTGATGGCTTAATTTACAAATTTCTGTAACTAAAATGTATATAATAGCATGAACTAAAAAATAAAGTATTACAAATATTCCTTGTCTGTCACTACTTAACCAATATACGAGTGAGTCACTTAGATTTTTTTCCCAAAAAATATTTTTGTTTTTAAATGTTTTCAATCCAAAAAATATGTTTCTGCTGCTCTCTACTGGGAGTATGGAAGAATTGTATTTCATAGATAAAAGGCTACAATAAAATGCTTCAGTACTAATTTTTCACTATTTTTAAATCTTTTCTCTTAAGAATAATATTTAAATATAACTTTATTCTATTTTTTAAAACTTATAAAAGTTTAACTATAATTTGATAATGAAAGATCTGGGTTCTTAGTTTGGGGATTTTTTTTAAGTAAGATATAAGCCCTAAAATAAACACCAAATAAAGTTTGGTATTTACCAAATGATAAAGAAATTCAAATAAGAATGATACATATTAGATTTCCTCCATCTTGTATAACTAATGTCAAAGGTATTTTTTTTCTCAAAGAACAGTACAATCCGATTTTTCACTTGAATCATAAATTTAATGCAGAATTCATACAGTCCAAAGTTTGAAGGTGATGATTCACTGAGAAATCCTCCAAGTCAAAGAACAGATCATGACATAAACATCTGAATATTTCTCCAGTTAAGGAATGCAATAAAGATTCTTTATGGAAGTAATTTAAGTTAACAGAAACCCTGAGTACTTTCAAAATAATTCTCCTGAGAATTTGTGTTCACTTTCTTACGTTTCCTAACTTAGGAACTACTCCATAATTCTGCAAAAAATAAGTTGCCTATAGTTTTCCTGAGTGGCAGTTTGTATACAGTTTTAGGTATTTTTTGTTTTGGCTTGGGTTTGGTTTTGGTTTTGGTTTTAAGTAGAAATCATCAAATAAATGTGTTCCCAAGTTTGATTATCAAATTCAGAATCTCTCAAGGATTTACATGTCTAAATTTTTAAATTCTCACCCAACAAATTTAGCATTTACTGAACTATGTGCTACAGAATTTTAAATATATTATAACCAATCCTTACAGCTCTGAAATAATAAATATCATTTCTTTGTTTCTTTGTATCTGTCTGTCTCTCCTTGCTTCTCCGTCTGTCTCCCCCACTCCTTTTTTTGGAAAGGATTGAACCCAGGGGCACTTAACCACTGAGCCACATCCCCAGTCCTTTTTATATTTTATTTTGAGATAGGGTCTCGATAACTTGCTTAGGGACTCACTAAACTGATGAGGCTGGCTTTGAACTCACTATCCTCCTGCCTCAGCCTCCCAAACCACTGGGATTACAGGTGTGCCCCACAGCACCTGGCTCATCACTCTCTCTTTAAATGAGGACCATAAGGTAGAGGATTCAAGTAACTTTCCCAAGTATCACAGCCAGGATTAAGCATGTCCAAGCAACATGTCCTCTTTAAAAACATAAAACTGAGAGTCTCTACCAAATACCAAGGGAATTCTAACCACTATTCTTTTTTTTTTAATATTTTCTTAGTTATATATGGGCACAATATCTTTATTTTGTTTATTTATTTTTATGTGGTGCTGAGGATCAAACCCAGTGCCTCACATATGAGAGGCAAGCACTTTGTCACTGAGCCACAACACCAGCCCCTAACCATCATTCTTACTACCACTATTCCAAGTTCCTGGTTTTAGAACAAGCAAGAGATTTGAGTATTCTGAAACCAGCATCCTATACTAAAACCTGGTGGTAAAATAAAAGTCCCCAGATGAACTACATCCTCAGATGCCTTCTCAAGCCTTCATTCTGTCAAGGCCAATGATGGGGGAGCAACCAATAGTAAGGGGAATATGAAAAATGGTAAAACTGGGTGTTTTGGAGGTCATGGCTCAGAGGTGAGCGCTCGCCTACCATGTGTGAGGCACTGGGTTCGATCCTCAGCACCACATAAAAATAAAATAAAGATTAAAAAAATGGTACAACAGGAAAAGCCAAGGTAGTAAGTAAGTCTAATCTAGTCTCTACTGCATAAATTCTGCTACAAATTTTTAAAATATTACAACAATACTTACCTGATTTAATTTCTAAACCAAATCATTCAACTACTCAGGTCAATCTCTTTTTCAGTTTTTTTTTTTCAAAAATCATCACAATTCAATTTTATAAAAACATACCAGCAAGAGGTGGCTTATGAGAATGAAGAATACAGGGCACGCTGACAATTAATTTGTGATCTGGAATGGGGAGAACTTTTGTATCTGTATTCCTAATTAAAATAGAACAAGATAGTTAACTATATTTTAAGGAACATTTTTAAAATTCTATATCACAGTTGCATTTATTCTTTTTTCCCCTTTAAAATAGTATCCGATTTTAGAAAAAATTTTAGAATAGAATCAATGAAGGAAATCAACAATTTAAGAATTGAGATATTTCCTAAAATTTCATTTTCTATTTTTTATAATCAATTACACACTAGATAAAACAAAAGGTAATATAAAATTTCATGTGCCATACAATTCATACTTTTCTGCTCTAGGTGATTTCTAGATTTTCAAAAATGTAAAAATAAAGAAAAATCAATGATCATTGTGTTAATAATTCTTACAACCCTAAAAATACATGTATACAATTTTTTTTTTTTTTTTTTGGTGGTGCTGGGGATTGAACCCATGGCCTTGTATATGCAAGGCAAGCACTCTACCAATTGAGCTATATCCCCAACCCCACATGTATACAATTTTGATACATCACCTTTCTTACCTTAATGGTAAAGTAGTTTGTTCTCCAATTCTTCCCAGTATAAGACCTTCATAAGGCTTTTTGTGTGGAGAATCTAAAGGGAACACAAACTCTCCTGAACTGGTGATCTGGGAGAAAGGAGTCAACAAAAAAGGAGTTATTTTTTACCATCACTATAGGCTGAGATATGCTACATTCTTCCTTTCATATTAGGTCTTTAAAGTCTGATGCATATTTTACATTTCACAGAAGTAGCCACATTTCAAGTGCTAAAGAGCCACGTGTGGTAATGGCTACCATACTGAAGACTACAAGGGATTTTTAAAAATTCATTTATATAACATTGTTTTGGTTTTGTTCTGAGGATTAAATGCAGCAGGACACTCTATTGCTGAACTACATTCCCAGTCCTTTTTATTTTATTTTGAGAAAGGATCTTGCTAAGTGGCCCAGGCTGACCCTGAACTTCCAATCTTCCTGTCTCAGATTCCTGAATAGCTGGATTTACAGGTATATACCACTATACCAGCACAGTGTCATTAAATACTGTGTAAACTAAAATTGATAAGGAAAGAAGCTGGGTAGTTGATGAGACAAACAATACCCAGTACAGAGACTGGCCTCTAGCATTACAAGTTCAGAAATTCAATTATCATTTCATCCTGGGGTGACCAGACTCTCAAAATTCATTTAAACCAATCAAGCTAAAAATATAATTTATAATAACAAATCCATCTCTTAATTTATAATGAAGATACGTATTTTCACTGTCAGAGTATTTATATATATTACCTATGAAACTCTTTATACTGAGCAACCACTTTACCTGAACAACCACAGCAGTAATCAGAAAGTCCTTTTATCTTTTCTCTAGGACCAATCAGACACTTCACCTCTCATGCATTGTATTGTATAAATACTGAAAAATTCTTATTCTTCAGATAGCCTTTATACTTTATGATACAACAAATGTGTAATTATTTAATAAATGTTTCCTACAATATATTGTTTTTGTTTTCAACTCTAGTCACACTATTTCTTAGTATTCAGTTGAATGTTATTAGCAATGAATAGTCTTGGGTTTTATATATTAACATTTTACTGAGTTCAAGTTCAGAAAATGTCCTCTTTCTGACTTTGACCCCAGTGTCTAACCATAACAAAACTATTAGTGGGGGGTCCAAGATGGCAGGCCAGAGGGAGGCAGCATTCTATGTTGCTCCGTGACCTGGGACTCAAGTAGTGAGAATATTGCTTCTCTGCAAGCAATATCCCTGCCCCCATGCAGGAATCACCATGCCTGTGCAGGGCTCCAGGCCTCAGCGACAGAGTAAGTCTCCCAACTACTTGACCATGCCATACCTGAGCAAGACCATCAGTGGCGCAGCACCCGCAAAGAACTTTCGGCCACCCACCAGATCAGAAATCACGGACACTGATCCCACGTAGGACACCTGGCAGGTGTGGACCCCCATCTACCAACATGGGGCTCCCCCTGTCACCGCCATCTTGGGACTCTGCAGTACCAGACATAGTCCCCTACAGCGCAGTACCTGCCTGCACCTGGAATGTCACACAGTCTCTGAAATCAGCTGACAGCCACACACTGCACACCACAGAGCTTGTCTCTAAACTCATCATCCAACGCCATCGCCCAGCCCTAACCCTAAAGCAGGTGCCTCCATCGTGGGTCACCTTCATCACCATCTTCAGTGGAGGCAACTCCCAGTTCGGAACTCCAGCTGGCCAGGTACCCAGTTTCTAACTCTCCCCTCTCCCAGCAGCCACTACCCCACCCAGCAGTGACACCCTGATTACCTTCACCATCCTGAGGATGAAGATACCAGCTAACAACAGACAACCTCACCTATCAGATGAGAAGGGAGGCAGGAAACATACTGATCTCCAACCAAAACAATCTCTGTTTCTTCCTTCAAGATTTTTTTTTCTTTCTTCTCCCTCTCTATTCTCCTACCCTCACATATCCAACATATGTTAAAACAAGTACTTCACATGAATTAGGATTTTGAGGACTGGGACATCTGAAGAGTATATTACAGTCGTATTGCATTTTTTTTTCTTTTTTCCCACCAATTTCTACTATTTTAACATTTTTTATTTTTCTTAATATATATGTATATTTGTTTTATATACTCAACTGTCTTCCCACTTATCTACCCAAAATTACCTTCTCTCCCTTCTCCTACTACTAATCTTCCTCTTTAGATTTCTCTTTCACACTTCCTAAGATATAATAACTGTATATCCTCACCTCCTACCTCCCCAGCACATCATCCTATTCCTCTTCTTTGTCCACCATCAGAATCTGTAAACCCACTTACAAATCTACTGAGTATATTGTAGATAATATTTGAATTCACTATTTTTGTACATTGTGACCAAACTGTAAACATCTTAATAGCAAACATTTGTTTTTAGGGTGTATATTATTTATATTGGGACCTGTTAACATTATCCTTCACCTCAAAGGAGAGGTATTGGATCCCTACAGGGGCACTATAAGCCTCTAGACTAAAAACATTAATGCCTCGCATCCACAGTGCTAGAAGGGAAGACACACAAGCAATATGAAAAGACAAGGGAAGAAAGTGCCCCAAACAAACCAAGATACCACATTATCAGAATCCATGACAAACAGAGCAGAAGAAATGACAGAGAAGAAGTTCAGGATGTACATTACTAAAGTGTCCTGCAAATTAAAGGATGATATAAGAGAGCAAATACGGGCAGCAAAAGATCATTTTGACAAAGAGCTACATAAACAAATACAGAAATGCATTTGATTTACGGATATTGATTTTATATACTGCTACTTCACTGAATTTATTTATTAATTCTAGAAGTTTTCTGGTGAAGTTTTTTGGATCCTCTAAGTATAGAATCATGTCATCAGAAAATAATGATAGTTTGAGTTCTTCTTTTCCTAATCGTATCACTTTGATTTCTTCTGTCTAATTGCTCTGGCTAGAGTTTCAAATGCATTTCTATTCATCAGTGATGAATCCTCTGAAAGAGAAATTAGGAAAACTACCCCATTCAAAATAATAAAATACTTAGGAATCAATATAACAAAAGAGGTGAAAGACCTCTAGAATAAAAACTATAGAACACTAGAGAAAGAAAGAGCATGCTCTTAGATAGACAAAATTAATATTGTCAGAATGGCCATACTACCCAAAGCACTACACAGATTCAATGCAATTTCAATTAAAACCCCAATGTCATTCCTTATAGAAATAGAAAAAGCAATCAGGAAATTCGTTGGGAAAAATAAGAGACCTACAGTAGCCAAAGCAATTCTTAGTAAGAAGAGTAAAGCAGGTGGCATCATAATATCAGACCTTAAACTAAACTACAAAGCTAGAGTAACAAAAATGGCATAGTATTGGCACCAAAATAGACACACAGACCAATAGAACAGAATAGAAGACACAGAGACAAACCCTTATAAATATAGTTATCTCATACTAGACAAAGGAGCTGAAAACATACATTGGCAAAAAGACAGCCTCTTCAACAAATGGTGCTGGGAGAACTGGAAATCCATATGCAGTAAAATGAAAATAAACTCCTCTCTCTCACCATGCACAAAACTCAAAGTGAATCAAGGACCTAGGAATTAGACCAGAGACGCTGTGCCTAGTAGAGGAAAAAGTAGGCCCAAATATTCATCATGTCAGAGTAGGCCCCATCTTCCATAACAAGACTCCTAAAGCACAAGAAATAAAATCAAGAATTAATAAATGGGGTGGATTCAAACTAAAAATCATCTTCTCAGCAAAAGAAACAATCAATGAGGTGACAAGACAGCCTACAATTTGGGAGTACATTTTTGCCACACACACACATACACATCAGATAGAGCTCTAATTTCCAGAATATATAAAGATCTAAAAAATCTAAACACACACACACACACACACACACACACACACACAAATAAATAAATAAATAAATAATAAAAATAACCCAATCAATAAATGGTTCAAGGAACTGAACAGACACTTCTCAGAAGAACAACTGATCAACAAATGTATTAGAAAACGTTCAACATCTCTAGTAATTAGAGAAATTCAAATCAAAACTACTCTAAGATTGAATCTCACACCAGTCAGAAAAGCAGTTATATAAAATACAAATAACAATAATTGTTGGCGAAGCTATGGAGGAAGAGTCACACTCATACATTGCTGGTGGGAGTGCAAATTGGTTCAACTAACATGGAAAGCAGTATGGAGAATCCTTGGAATACTGGGAATGGAACAACCATCCCACTCCTCAGTCTATACCCAAAGTACTTAAAATTTGCATATTATAGTAATGCAGCCACATCAATATTTATAGCAGCTCAATTTGCAATAGCCAAATTGTGGAAACAAAAATTGCCCTTCAATATATGGGTAAAGAAACTATATTATATATACACAATGGAATATTACTCAGCATTAAAAGAGAATGCAATATGGCATTTGCAGGTAAATGGATGGAGTTGGAGAATATCATACTAAGCGAAGCAAGCCAATTCCAAAAACCAAAGGCCAAATGTTCTCTCTGATAAGTGGGTGATGGTTCATACTGGGGGAGGGAATGGAGAGAATGGAGGAACTTTGATGGGTAAATGGTGGGGGGGTAATGAAGGCAGGAAAGATGGTAGAATGTGATGAACATCATTACCCTAGGTACATGTATGTCTGCACGTATAGTGCAATGCTACAGAGAAATGAAAAGTTGTGCTGCAATTGTGTACAATGAATCAAAATACATTCTGCTGTCATCAATATACCTAATTAAAATTAATTAATCAATTAAAAAATTAAAAAAAAACAAATACAGCAAGCAAAGATTACTTCAATAGGGAGATAGAGGTCCTAAAAAAAAAAAACAGAAATCCTTGAAATGAAAGAAACAATAAACCAAATTTAAAGTTCAATTGAAAGCATCACCAACAGATTAGACCACTTGGAAGACAGGACCTCAGACAATGAAGACAAAATATATCATCTTGGAAAGAATGTAGACCACACAGTAAAAATGATAAGAAACCATGAGTAGAACATTCAAAAAATATGGAATGGCATGAAAAGACCAAATTTAAGAGTTACTGGGA